TTTTATGTGTTTTAGTAATGACATTTTTTAACTGCTATTTTTGTAGCTCTTGGAGTATCAAGGGAGTATGAGTGGTGATAGATGTAAAAGAGGACGGGAGCAACAGGTATCAATGGATCTCTTCCATTAGACTACGGAATTGAAACTCCTGTTTTAAAGCACTTCCTCAGAGAAGATGGCCAAGTGTTTTAGTTGTCTCAGCCTGAAATAAGAGATGGCGTATGTTCTGGACAACTAAGCTTGAACCTCTGTAGTAGTCAGGGGCTGTGACCAGATGAGCCTCAGATTCCAGCCAGCAGCCCTAGCACCAGGTCCTTCCCTTCCCTGCTATGTACCCTCTGTCCTAGGTGCCTGCCCTTGCACCCTTTATGCAATGTAGGATCTGAGAAGCCTGGACAGTGGCATGTGCCTGAGTCAACAGCTATAGGAGGCTCTGCACTATCCTCACTCCTTCGCTCTTTTATAGTCTGTACCACCGTATTATACTTTAAACAAAGGTCACTTAGAGTTTTTTCCTATCCCTTTTAGTGGCACTGATGTTCCCATTGTATAAACTAATAATCAGTTTTTCCCTTAAATATTTTGGCATTGTTTTGCACCATTTTTGTAGGGTGTCTGGAGGAGGGGGCCCCAGTGTCTAGCCTCTGAAGATACAAAGAGACTTAACAGATCAGATCAAAAATGTCTACAGTCTCCATGATCATTTTCTTTTATAAAACCATACCATTTCTTTATTTCAGAAGCAACTGTATCCTGTGATGCTTTTTGTTTTGTTTTTGAAATAAAGGGAGTTAGCATCATAACTCCTAGCAAACAGCACATATTTCATATGTGGAGCTGATAAGTGATATTTAGTTTGGCAAATCGAAAAAAACATCATTTAGCAAATTCAAACATTATATTTCCTAAAGTCAAAAAACCCTCTGTCATTATAAAAATCAAACAGAACACAACAGCTTAATAACCTGACAGCTGAACTAATATATTAACAAATTTTTCTGATCATATCAGTTTTTTTTTTTCCCTTCCCTATGGGAAAAAAATGCGTTCCCTACCTTTAATATTACTTGGAGTCTCCTAGAACTTAAAATGTCAGATTCTTCTAGATAGTCTTAAATTATGATGTAAGTAATTTCTGGCAATGGAAAGATCCTTTTAGGAACACACATTTTTACCTACATTAAGAAAAAAATACTAGAGCCCTAAAAACCTGACAAGAGTGATGAAAACAGTAGCATACTTATTCATGCTTACTGTGAGGATGGAGTAGGCTGGGGGCTAGGAAAGGAACACTCAGCTTCCTCACCAAGATGTCCTGGAAGCCAGGCTAGAGGAGCCCTCATGCAGCACACTGTCAGCGCACCCCAAGTCAGGGTAGCTGTGAGTTTCTCGCCTGGTACTCTGTTTACAATTGGAAATACTTGTCCTAGGGTTATGTATGTCATCTAAGCGAGCTTTCCCATAACTATGGTCACCTAGTCAAAGACCTAACTAAATTTGGATTTTTCCAAATTGTAAGCCTTTATTAAAAATGGAAAACATACCATTTTAATTATATCTACAAAATATTTGAAAACAATACAATTTCAAGAAATTATAGTAACAATCAGCCTACAATCATATTAGTAAAAACCCCTACCAGTTAGTAATTACCTACTGCAATTAGGCACTACAGTATTTCATGATTTCATTTAAGCTTCCCAACAGCTTTAATGGGGCAAGTGAATCTATATACATTCTACAGGTGAGGAAACAGAAAATTAGAGAGATTATATAACTATCCTTAGTTCCCTTGGCTGATAAAAATTTAACTCACTCTACATACCTTATATTGGATTAACTCTAAAAAAATCACAGATTCTTTCTCCATTATAAAATACACAAATTTGTTATTTCTTCATTGCTTTTATTTATCTATTTATCTATTTATTGACTTATCTATCTATCTATTTATTTAACATCATTCTTCATTTAGTGCATTTTTCATTTCAGTTGTAATCCCCCATAGACTTCCCACCAGCAATTCACCCGTGTGCCATCACCATAGTTATTTATGTATTTTTTTTTATCATGTCCTGGATGAAACTTTAGGCAAAGATGATCAGAGGCTGCTTCTCAGGGGTCAGTTCTGATAGATTATTTGAAAATCCTAAGAAAGGACTGAAAGGTGATAGGAAAAGGGACTATGATCAGTAAGTACAATGTCTGAAAGGGCAAGGCAGCACTGATACTCAGTCAAGTTTACACCTTGACCCTCTGTGCTGAGCAGGAGCTTGACACTTTGCTTAAGCTATGTGGTGTTACTGCACTGGGTGCTCATTCTCTACAGACATCTTCCTTCCCTTCTAAAGTATGATAAGACTAAGATCAACATTTCAATCACCCTGTGTCACACTTGAGGGTAGCACCAAAATTATGAACCCCACCCCAAATGTATTTTTATCAACAAAAATGAGAGTGGCTTTCTCACTCAGTCACATGGACCTCAGTTATGTGACTACTGGATGTGTTCGTGGATTACATATTTTTTACATAAATTTGGGCTCCATCCCAGCCTGCTTATTGATGATTCAGAAGCTTTTACCTTCTAAGTAATTGTATTTTAAAAAGAATAAAGACATTTGTTTATCAGGTATAATGTACAGATTATGGGAAAACTACAAAAGAAAACAGAAAGACCAATATCAGAATCTGATTTAGGTTTTAGGTGGCAGTTTCACCTAGAAGAGTAAAAAATAAAACAGCTTGAAAATGTTTATTGTCATATACGAAACTTTTCATAGATAACAATAATTTTAAGCTGCCAAAAGCAAACTTCCTAAAACAGATGAGTTAACTGCCGCTCAGTGAAATAAAGCAGAAAGTTCTTAATAAGATTTGTCAACACACATTTCCTTAGCCTATTGAGCAATTAAGCTAATAAGCATGGATCCTGCACAAGTTATAAAGACAAACATGCACCTGGGCTTTATATATTTCACTAAACACAGCTGTTGGAAAAAGCACTTTCATGCTTATACTTACACATATAACTAAGAACTTGATGAAATGAAGTTTGGCTCTTATAATACTGAAATGATAAAGAAAGCCAAAAAGTACACTTTTATAAGAACATACAGGTTGACATCTAACTATAATAACTAAAAAGTGACAGATGTCCACAGGGGCATAAGAAAAGAGCTCAGACTGCTCATCTCTAGCATACATTTTATAAAATTCTTAACTTTTTTGACACATATTAATGCAAGAATTGGATTAAAAATTAGTTTAAAATAGTAATAAAGAGAAATTAAAGTAAAAAAGATGCCCAAATTTCTGGCGCTAGAAGAAGGAAGGTAAAACAGTAGAAGGAAGGTAAAACAGTAGTAGTTTTCACTGATTAAAACACTTTCCTGTATCTGGAAGATCCTCCTTCTCACTGAGCTGAACTTTAATGGGCTGGGTGTACATGGATTGTAAGCACAAGCATTTTAGTACCATGTCCCAGAAGCCAGCTAGATACCCTGGCAATATGGGGTGACAGAGGATGCAAAAAAAAAAAAGTTACCTGCTTTCCAGCCAACAGGTGCATGGTGACTGCCTTAGATTCTGTACTATTTCCAAATACACCATCTATGCTCTCACCTCCTGCCTTTGTCAAACTGTGCCCTCAGCCTGGAATGGGCCCTCTCTTCCATCACCACCTGTTGAATTCTTGTGCTGTTGTCTGGCTTCCTTTTCAGGAAAGGTTAAGTCTTTGGATAAGACTCCCCAATCTCTTATTTAAGCAATCACCTGACCTGTTAGGCTGGAGGACAGGAGATTTTTGGGCAAACTCTTTTTTTTTATTATTGGTAATTAAAACTAATTTAAATTTTTTATCAGTTTTGTACTTTTATGCTCCAAAAACTCAAGACTTTTATTAAACTTGCAAAACTCATGCCCATTTCAATCTGGAGAGTGTAGGGATGGTAGGAGTTGCAGGTAGATATAGTGCAGTAGTCTCTGGACCAGCAGACAGTAATACCTAATAAAAGAGATTTAGGTCAAGGGAGAGTTTGTCTTATTTTTTTGGATAATAATAATAAGCATGGTTAATAATGTATATTCTACAAAAAGAGAATGAAACTGGTAAGATGAATAAAGTTGCTGATATATGTCCAAAACTAAATTAGTTCAAAGCAGACAGAGTACAGACTATTGGGACTCTTTTCCCTGAGAGATATACTATGATTTATCCAGAATATTACATAAGAATAAAGAGTTCTGTTAAATAAGAAAATAACATAGCAACTGGGGTCAAAGAAAGCCCAGATTGAAGCAGAGGGTCAACCTAAACAATGTTTGGAGACCAACAGCAACAATTCAAGGCCTGGTACTGTATCAGAATAAGGGGCGCAAATCCACCCCTTGAGCAGGGTAAGGTTAGAGGGGTAAATCACCCACTTCCAAAGAAGACAGCATTTACTCTCTCCTCTTTGATAGTTATCATGTCTTTTGTTGATCAAGACTCTTAGGTCAAGACATACTTGTGAAACCTCCATATTTCTCTTTCTTTGTACTACAAGTAGGAAATGTTCTGGTCTGTTTCATTTTCAAGTATTTTTTTAGGTTTTCAAAAACTTTCAAGGAGTTAGTTAAAAACCATGTGAATCACAACTTGAAAATACTTCCCAATAAATACAGAATCTATTCTTACCACCACTTCACAGGAAGAGGTCACAGCTAAGCATGGGAAAGCTCTATCCTCTGGCTAGCTGAAGCATTCAATTGTTTGGTTTCTCTCCATGCCCACCTTTACATTCATTACTGTTTAGTCAGGTCTTGACAAATTGTAAAACTAAACACAAATCAGATCTAGCTTACACAACTGCACAGCAGACTCTAAGAGGGCTAGACATCTGCAGGACTTGACATTCAAGACTTTGGCAAGATGTCAACGTTTCATAGAACACTTTAAATGTTTTGATTTGAGAGCTAATGTAGCATTTCCCACTGGTCAACACTAGGCAGAAAGCAAAGTATATTTCCCTCAACATCAGATGATACACTCAGTTGCTGATCCACTTTTGTGTACAGAGACCGTAACAGACTGGAAAAATTGGTAAGTAAGGAAAATTCATGTAATTCTGAGTATATGTTAAAGGATATTTGTAGTGACAGAGTGTAAAACAATTTTTTGTGTTCTTGATGTCCTAAAATCCTTTTTTTTTAAAAATGGATATACTGATGAGTGGGATTTGCCTTTTTCAAATTACAGGGCTAAACAAAGTTCAATTAACGGTTCCCTGTATGTTCTTTTTAAATTGGATAAAACATGATTTTCTTCTATAGGCTCTTGCATTAGGCATTAGGAAGCTCCTGTTTTCAAAAATTTGTAGACCTATTGCTTGTAAAACATGCATCTATATGTGTAGATAAATGAATAGTGAATTAAAATGTTTGAATATGGTAAAGAACACCAGAATAGTTAGGTTACTGCTCAACCCTCAGGGGACAGGCAGTCTCATAAAGAGCCTAAATGCTGGAGAAAGAAAAACAGGTTGACTTAAGAGTACAAGAAGCAACAACCACACAAAAACTGATACTAAAGAGGGAATACTTTGTGCAAAGGATTCTCTAAAGTCTTTTTGAAGTGTTATATTTCCATTAATCCATTGGTTTAGATTTAACACTTAGTCAAAATTGACTTTCAAAGGAAAAAAAACAAAACAGAAATTAGCAAAGTTTCTTGTTGTTATTTTTCATTTACATCTTAAGACTTTTTAGTATTATGTCCTTGATTTTTAACTACAGATATCTTCCTATGATAGTTAACAAATATTTAAAGAGCAAGCTTTGATCAGTTGTTTTGTTTGATCTGTGAATGACGAGAACAAAGAAAGCTTGCAGAACTTATTCTACTTAGCATTTATTTTTCTAGAAAATGCACAATAAATTCCATAAGTAGACTAAAAGATACTTTTAAAATTAATATGTGCTTAGCACCTACTCCTGCTTATTTCCCAGCCAAAAGAGAAAAAAAAAAATTAAGAAACCTATTTTCTGGAGCAATTATAAGACTGCCACTGTAGGAAGGCAGATAGAAATAAATTACCAACCAAATGCACCTGCCTTTCTACTACCGAAAAGTTCTGAATCAGAAAATAGTCTTCTCAAAGCAGGATTCTTCCTAACAAATGGCTCTTTAAATGGAAACACTGTTACCTCTTAAAGTCTTCCTTGTAATACAGTCATATTTGTACCTCCCAACTTTGACAGTTTTTCCCCCACTGAAAGGAAGCATTCACAGGAAAAAAATATATATGTCTATATAGACACAAAGCATGTGAAATATAGACATACAGATATATCTTGCACTTAACATCATTAAAATTAATAGAATAACAGTTATTTTTCCATTCTAGTCAGCTCTTCATACCAGCTTCGTGGGCCTAGGACTTCAACACAAAACATTTTCCTGGCTGTTCAAGATTAACATGTGTCACCAAGATAGCCTAAGAAGAAAACCCAGGAAAACATTACCAAGATCTAGGTTTACTAATTTTTTACTCTTTGGTGTAATTAGATAGTTTTCATTTCATTTTATTTTATTAAAGATTTATGTATTTATGCACACAGAACTGAGGCACAGGCCAGAGGTGCAGGGGCGGTGAGAAGATTCACCAGAGACAGAATGGGGAATAGAACAGGCCAAATGACGAAGTACACTGCTGAGGGGAGCAACAGCTGGGTCAGGAGAGGTCTGCCACATCTTGTGGATCACCTCTGGGGCAGGGATCGAACTCATGCTAAAGTGGCCTTAGCTTCTTAGTGCTGTGCTTTAATCCACTGAGCCACCGGGGAGGGCCCCCATTTTATTTTTTAACTATAACTTTACCAATAACTATTAAATGAGTTAACATTATGAAACACCCATTTTTAGAAATAACAAAATCAAATACAAGCAATTTTCTATGACTTTAGCTAATAACAAAGTTTCAAAAGGCAGTCCCAAAAGTCAAGTGGTGAGAATAACAGAAATGTAATTTTACATAATTTTTATATGATAGGCAGATACAGGAGTTCTATTAAACATTTATAAAGCCCTCAGGATACAGACCTCTGCTTTAAAAGCTTTTGCATTGATAGCTTTTCCAGCCAAATTACACTGGCAAATACCTCCTATTATTAACTCTACTTTGTCGACTGGGGAACCAGGAAAGTTCAGACTCAAACAAAATGACACAGCTAAAAAACCAAGGAAGGGCCTTAAAGTCATCTGGCTTCAAAAACAAGGAACTTCCCCTACCCAACCTTCTTTCTGAACTAGAGGTATAAAATAAAAGTTGGAGATGCAACAGAATGTAAGTCTGATCTGCCCCTTAACTAATTATTCACAAAACAATTGTAGGAATCACATCGTGTAAAATAATATTATTAGGACTCAAAATTTTTATAGAGGCACTCTCAATGATGGGAAAAAAGCAAGAGCTTTGCAGATAAACAGTGAATTTTAATCTGCTGTGAACTTGAGCTATATATATACATTTTTGTATTTTTTCAATTCTGTCCCATTACCCATAAAAAAATCATCATACAGTTATCACCATAACAAGCTGCTAAAATACTGAAACACACCACTAATAGTAGCTATTCAATAAAGAGGGAACTCTTTCCTCTATCATATCTAATATCTTGATTAAGTTAGAAGTAGTATAAGTTAAGTGTAAAATCCAACATGACATTTCAGCTAGAATATGACACTCAGATGGCCAAATTAAAAAATCATAAATTAAGTTGAAATTATCTAGAATTTCAGTAGGAAAAGGTTGCATCCTAGCAGTGTTATCAAAAGAATACTTGTATTGATACAGTGACCTACAATTACTTCCTCACCAACAATATTGAATCTGACAGATAGGGAACATGAAGAATGGGACTTTATAGTCCTGCAAGTGAAGAAGAAGGAAACGGGTCCTATTTAAAAAAAAAAAATTCACTGGTAGAAAAACACGAGATTATTACTTGCTTAATTTAATGTTTTCTGAATGAATAACCAATGGATAGATAACTAAAAAGACAAACTTACAAAACATTCAAGAAAAGATGAAATGTAAGTTATCTGACCTATAGCTATTACATCAGACTGGAAAAGTGTAAACATATTTTAAATTTAATTACTGCTCATAAAGACATAGTGTCCCTCTTGGTATTCACAAACAGTACAGGACACATAGACAGATCAAGGGTTGAAATATTAAAATAATTAAACTAGGGCCTCCCTGGTGATGCAGGGTTTTAAGTCTCAGCACTATTAATTTATTGCCAGTCACTGCAGCATGAGTTCTATCCCAGGCCAGGGAGGTGACCCACATGGTACAGCAGACCTTTCTGTTTCATCCATTGTTTCCCTCAACAGTGTATTTCAGTAGATCTACCTGTTCTACTCCCCACTTTGTCTTTGGCAAATCATGTCAAAACTCCCCCATACCTCTTGGCCTATACCCCATTTCTTATATGCATAAATAAATAAAAAATATTTTTTTAAAAAAATAGCTAACTATCCCAAAAGAAATCTTATTAGAAAAATATAGTAAAATATACCAGGAAATTTCAAGCTTTTGGTCCCATGATATCTTTCACTTATAAAAACTAAGAAACCCAAAAAGCTTTTATTTATATGTTATATGTAGAAATGTTCATTATATTTTAAATTAAAATTTTGTGTTTTATATATTTATTTTTAATGCCACTAAGAAGTAGCATCATATTAACCCTAGTGACACATTTTTATTTAAAAAAAATATATTTTCTAACTAAGTTTCCTTATTAGAAAGATGACTTTTTCAAGATTTTTTAAACTCTCACATAATTAGATGCTTATATTCACTTTTGCATAAGGTCAGTTGTTTCAGCAAAAGTATACACAGAAAATCTAATCTTGCACAGATATATATTAGGAAAAGGAAGGAGTATTTGTAACAATCTTTTTTATTTTTTTCTTGAGTACACTAGGGCTCAACTGTTTTCAATTGTTTCCTTAACATTGGTTGCAATGTAGAATCTAAAACTATTAACAATTAATAGTTTCATTACATAAAATTCTATAATCTAATTTGATATTTGAGTGAATATTATACCCATTCTATATTTTAAAACATGGGATATTCATTGGTCACTTTCAGAACTTTGAATTCTATGTACTTCACATACCATCAAAATCATATTAATATTGGCAATGATCTCAATTTTACCATTGCAGACAAGATTTCCAGATTTCTAACTTTGACTGAAAGCTTGAGTTTTAGCATCATCAATAAATATTGCTATTTGTTTTCCTTCATATCAGAAGGTTCAGTTCATTTTTAAGAAATTACCTGCAAAATAACGAAATCTGATTTATTGTAGTTTATCATCCTTTCAAGTAAAAATGATTTTCCATGGGGGGGGGGACCATCTAACAAGCTCATTAATCAATCACCAAAGCCCTGTTCCTCCAGATAGAATGCACAATTCCTATTTTGTCACATAAAACACTTAAATGACACACACTTAAGAAGCAAGATTTAATCTTAATTATATGTATTTGTTAATCACTGATAATATGCATCGCTTCATCAGTGACATTCTTTTTTTATTTACTAAGCCAGAATGGCAGTAAGCTTGAATACAATAACTACAGGTCAACTGGGTACATGACCTTGATTTATGTCAAAACACTAACAGGTTTGTTTCACATACCATGACTTTTACATCATTAGTGTAAATATCAGGACAGTGAGTGAAAAAGGCAACAGACATACTATGTTGACGTCATGGTCCTCTTGAAAAGATATTAGGGATCCTTCTGATTTCACAGACAAGACTGTGAAGTCAATTATTTTGGATGCAGGAATATGGAAATTTTATTTTGATACAAAAAGAACTAACTTGAAAAGGAAAATGTTGCCTTGACTATGTTTAAATTAGTAATTTGTTTATCACACCACATAGATCTTTAAAAGTGAAGAGAAGTTATAGTTTGGGAAATACTTTTCACAACATATGCAATCATCAAGCAGCTATTAACATTTCAGTAATTTCTACAAATCATTAATAGTAGAATACAAAAGAAAAAAAATG